CCCCAAAACCCCAAAACCCCAAAACCCCAAGAGTAAATTAGCAGAACAATTTTCGATGATATTAATAGAAACTTTAGAGGTATGTTAATTAGCACAGATAATAGTTATCAATTGCAATTAACTTTTTTAGGAAATTATTTTATATTAAATTATGAGCACACATAATTCATCCAGGAAGTAATTACGCACCTCTAAACAGCGTAGACAACAAATAAGGCAGATCGTAAAGTAGTAGATCGAATAAAAACTTGAAAAAATTGAATACCAGTGAAAGATAGCAGAGTATAGAAAACAATAAGAGATTTAGTTTAATCAGTTTAGAAGAAGATCAAGCATGAATAATACCTAACTTACATTGTTGAACGACAACACTAAAATTGATAGCAATGCTTCACCACAAAACAATAAGAGTGAGTATAATTCACCTGAAAGAATGAGTAAACTCAGCCTTAAATTGCATAATCTATAAAACATCAACCCAAACATTGCAGCAGTTTAACGGAATGCAACAATTTAAACAAATCATAGCAGTATGAAATTTGATAATGATAACACTAATCACATGAATAAAACGGCAAAGAGCAATCAAAATGCGATGTAAAATAATCTTCATCCTAAAACGAATCTCAGAAAAGATTCTGATTAAACTTAAAACAGCTAAATACACAAAGAAAAATAAGGTGGTAGTTAATTGAATAGATTTGCAAATTATAGACATAACATCATTTAAGATAGTGGGCAATAAAATGAGTATTAGGACGATTTCTTGGAAGAAGATCTAATTAAGAAATACTTTTTTCACAGCGACTACTGGCAGACAATAAAGAAAAAGCAGTAGTTTTTGAATCTTAAGAGAGAGGGCATGAAAACTTAAGTTCAAAGCCCCATTAACATTGAACGAATGATTTAAGAGACCAGGCTGCCAGAGCTTTAAAAAATTAAAAGTAAATAAAGGAGAATAAAGAAAGGGGAGACTGAATCAAACTATCGATTCTCACTAGAATCTTAAAATTGGTATAATGAAGTAGATATGCAAAACAAATCTCTAGAGAATCATGTAGATGGAGAAATCTTTATCCCTAAGACACTGTTAGATGAGTCAGTATTGTAAAGCCACTATAATTAATAGAATCAGAAAAATGAACCAAAGGCATTGCAATCTGCCCAGAATAGAAGATCTTCACATTAATCCTAGAGAGCAAAGGCTTAAGAAACTCCATAAGAATCTTAAATAAATAAAAGTCTGCTCGAGATTGAATAAAGATTAGGATTGAAAAAGAAAAACCCCCTTGAGGAAATCAATCAGATGGTTAATATTCGCTAAACTGAGTAAAACATTGACTTACTCCAAAAAGAAATCGTTCATCTTAATAATGAAAAACCTTTTAAAATTTCCCAGAGTAGTAAAAGATAGCAATCTACAATCATGAAAGGAGCTGAAAGGTATATAATATCTCCAAGCTAGGATAGTTAAATCCATATAGATCCAACTAATAGATCAATATTTCTAGATTATTCTTAAAGACGATAAAACTCAGATGAATCTTAAAGAATTTAAAGGGGAACTGGATAAGTAAAGACCAAAGATAGATTTTCAGCTAAAGTAAATGAATTTTAAAATTTCTCTCAAGGATTCACCATTGGGGAATCAGTTCTTCTTTAAAGCAAAGATTTAAGGAAAAGTGGTATTAAGGGTGGCCACAACTAAGTATTAAATTAGCATTCAGTACAGTTAAGAGACCCAATCTTAGAGTAGGGAGTTAGACTTTCTAGGAAATATTAATCAGTTAACACAAGCATGAAGATCTCACCTGTAAAATAATCTATTGATAGAAATTATGATTCATAGCTTGATTCACCAATATCTATTAAGAGAGATTTATTAAATAGAACATTATAATCAACAAAGATGAGCTAAGATCAGTATAGTATTAGCAATAGACTACCTTCATAGATGTCTAATAAGTGTCACGGCCTAAAAGTATTTGAAACTAAAACAGATAAGTAAAAACTTATTGAGAGACTTTTCGATCATCCTAAGGAGCTAGTCCTTAATAAAGCAAAATCTCTGCATCATGAATAATAAGAGGAGGAGGAATTGATCCAAAAATAAGAATAGAAAGTGAAGGAAGAAGTCAAGCATTTACTTTTAGGAATTTTAGACTAAAGCTTAACTCCTAGGACAAGCTCGGTACCCTTGAGAAATCCAGAAAAAGCAGCCAGTCCTACAATGTAGTTTTAGCCTATGTACAATAAAAATACACCTAATTTTCTTCAGCTTATTACTTAGATAGATAAAAAAGGAAATCCTCATTTTGCAGATGAAAATTAGTTCTAGCAAATATAGTCTCTTTTTAATAAGTGGTATAACTATAAAGAGCCAGATATCTAAGGCAAAGGCAAGAATGGTAAGAAAGGATCAAAAGATGATGGAGATGGGAATGAGTCTTTCTAATCGTTTTTGGATTCAGATTTTATTGATGAGGAAAAGCTTTTGAAAGTTGGTTCTGACAGTCTTGACAATGCTAAATTTGGCCTTTATAATAAATACCTTAACGTACTTCTCTTAAAGACAGGAGATCCTTTTGTTGCATAATAGTATTAAAAGTATCTTAGAATTAAGAGAAAAGGTCATGAGCAGAAAAAGTAGAATTTCTATTAAAGAATGCAAAAAGATATATCAAAGAGAAAGTAAGAGGACTCATAGAGTCATATGTTTCTAATGAATGATCAGAAAAGAAACACGATATTGAGGTTTGGAACCAACATTACAAACAACAGTGGTATATTTAGTCAAAGAAATAGTAACAAAGGAGATTCAACTCCTGTTAAGCATCTAGCAGCCAGGGGTTCTTTTCTTGGCTTCAGTAGGTAACAAGCTAATCAACTCTCTAATATAAAGGAGCAGCTATTGAAATCAAAAGATTCGCATGAATATATCCTTCATGATGTCCCTGAGAACACCACTGAAGAGTTCGATAATATGGATAACTCCTCAAGGTCTAAAAGCAGTGTCCCAAGAATAAACTTCCCTAGTCCGAATCATGGATCATCATAATAAGTCCCAAACATGAAACCAAGAATGAGCAGACTGGTAAATAAAAATGCCAGTGCTTTAGTTCAAAACCCATTTGGATTTAAAATGTTTAACAAAGCAGGAACACTAATTGGTATGAGATCTAATAAAAAGAGTCTAAATCTTATAGACAAAAAAATCCAAGAGATGGAAAAAGAAGTCACAAGTTCTTTAGTTAATAATGACAGGCTGAGTATAATAAGACAAACACCAGTCAATTTCAACTTTGGAAGTCTATGATATAATAATTCAGCATTCAATCATCAAATTGCCCTTCCTAAAATTAAAGTTTATTTCATTAATGCTAATCTATTATCACACACTATAGCTGCAATGCGGGGTTTTGGGGTTTTGGGG